GGTGGGGGGGGGGACTATCCCTTTAATATAACATCAATAAAAGAAATTAGCACTGTGATACACTCATCATTCAAATGTATGTGATATGCTATTACTTGATTTAGTATCATGTAATTGGCATGAATGAAACTATATTATACTACATGATGCTACATCATAAAACAATTACCAGTGTTATAACAGGATTTTTATCTTATGACATAACTCTTTACTAACAATACACTACCAGAAAGGTACTTTGGTACCCTGTTGCACCATGTAAATACCATAGTATATGAATATGGTAATCATAGATTATTATGGTATATACATTGAGTAAGTGCACCCATTACACTTAAGTTTGCAGACACTTTGAATTGATTTTTTATTAGTTTGCATGGGGGGAAAACCATGAACAAAACAAATCAGTCTTTAATTCTAAGTTTTATATGCACATGTTTGCAATTCTTCGTAAAAATAAATAAATAAATAAATAAAATGTGACAGGCCCGGCAAGTCATATCATGTTAAACCTATTGTATTATTAACTGATTCAATATTTATTTTTATTTATTATTTTCAGTTGTGAAAACAACCCATAACCCTGGATAACATTATATAATTTAATTCTTCATCAAATAAATTGATTTGATCTTATATAAAATGTAGAACAAATTTCTGAATCAGAGACAAGCCTCAACTTTAAAAACTCATACTGGCATATAACACATGATCATTTAGTGCATGCATCACCGAGTTAAAACATACTTACTGAAGTCAAACATGACACATAAATGATCTGGTCATGTACAAACACAGTGTGCTGTTCTCATTCAGTTCCTCGTGTGTAACCTGCTTTTGTGCTACTGTATCATTTCAGAGCACCTGAAACATGTCAAACTTGATGCTTCGGCAGCACACTGTGAAGCCAGTCCAGCGACTGCATGGGGTTTGTTTGCCAGCTCACATAAGTCATCTTTCAATGCCAAAAGACACATCTTATCAGAATTACATTTATGTGTACATCAATATACTAATCTATTACATTCTCTTAACCCTCCAGTGCTCCTTGTGTGGCGGCCAAAAATGAATTATAGTTTTCTTATTTTTAAATTAAATGAATGCACTTTATTTTAGTTTGATAATGTTTTTTACTTAATATTGTGAATTTTTAGGGGATATTATGGTACTAAATTATATTTGTGCAGTAATCCATTGAATGAAAATGAAACTGCCAACTTGAACTGTCATAAATCATAAATGCTTTGGAGAACAGGCTTAAGTTTGGTCTATTTAAAGAAAGAAAGAAAGAAAGAAAGAAAGAAAGAAAGAAAGAAAACACTAGGCAGATTATTGCTTTATTAAAAAAAAAAAAGTTTTAAAAAGTGAAATTAAAAGTTGTAGAAGTTTACTGTTGTAAAAAATGCAAAAAAAAAAAGAGTATATTTTCATATTTTATATAAAATATATTTTACATAACAGGTTTCACTCTAAAACGAGAAAATCAAACGAGTTATGTTCCAAATTTGAAGTTGGTATCACAAAAAAATTCTCTTTCAGTAAGATTTTGTTTGGCGCAGTACCAAATGTTTCCATCAGATGAAATTCGCTTCCTATTCATTTCCAATGCAGTCATTTTTGACAGCAAAGAGTACAAGTGTGACTATTTCTTTCAGAACCATTTAACCTTTTCAAATCATGTCCATTATTTATTTTTTTTCACATAACAAGTGCCACAACCTTTACCAAGTTTCATACCATTCCAATGAAGTAAAACGTAACCAAAAACCAAAAATGGAAATTATTTGGTCAAAAATGACCGAAGAGCACCAGAGGGTTCAAAATAAGCATACATTCCAAAATAATACTAGAAATAGCTCAAATAATGTAACTTCCAGTATAATGATTGTTTAACGGCCCTAACTTGGCTAATCTAACAGGCTTGAAATTAAACTGGAACTCAACGGACAATTTCAGTGTTTTCAGCAAACAGTGATGATGTTTTTGTGGGCGGAGCCTCTCTGGGACAGAAAAGGACAGATTTTAAGTAGCAGTGTATGGAAGCCATGGAATCATGAGTTTATAATCCCACACTTCTGACTTTTTTTTAAACTCGTTTAAAATTGTCTGAGTTAAATCGAGTTATACAGTCCGAACTAGGAGATATAAACTTGCATTTGCGAGAAAAAAAAGTCCGAATTGTGAGATAAAATAGGTAAATGTTATGTAAAATGTTATAGGTTTAATAGTATTTCATGCTTTAACTGTAGGGATAATACAATATGTCCCCTATGGGAATATTATAAGACCTATTGTTTAAATCTAATTTATGCTTTAAAAGTAGGGTAATCATAGCAGGTTTCATCCATAGTCTGTCCGTTTAAACGTCTGCGTTTTGCTTCAATTGGCGTCTTTGACGAAAGTATCCTATAAAAATTATTTGCATCCCGATTCTGACATCAAAAGGAACAACAATACATTTTTTCTCTTATTCCCTGCTTTTTACCCGTTTCCCTCCATTTGTTCCCAGTGTTTTTCTGTCACCACAATGCGCGCGCAGCTGCAAGTGACGTCTACTCCACATTGGTCTATAGACTTATGGGTGACCTGATAGCATCACTGTACCACCACGATATACACGTTTGTCAGGCAGTGTGAAGGGGTGTTTAGAGAGTAATATCAGCGTGCATGAGCTCCAACTGTAAAGCAAGATAAGAAGAAACCATAACGACTGCAGAGAGTGCAAATGTTCAATAAAAACTGGAATCTAACATTCTCTACTAAAAACATCTGCTTCAATAGAACTGAATTACAAGAAACTATTTACTATTGCGTTTTGTAATCTGTCATTTTGTGTGTCTCTCTCTCTCTCTCTCTCTCTCTATATATATATATATATATACATATATCTATATAAATTCCCCCCTGGTACTGAATGATTACCATATTGATATAGCCCAAACCATAGTATTACAATGGTACATGCCAGGTGTACTGTATACTAAGATGCAGAGCTGGGCAGATTACTTGAAAATTGTAATCCATTACTGATTCCAAATTACATGACAAAAATTGTAGTTAGTAATGTAATCCATTACAGTACACATTTTAGGTAATATAATCAGACTACTTTTAGATTTCTTTTGACTAGGGATGTAATGAATAACCACGAGCCGGTTGAAAATCAATTTCAAATATGTGACGATTGAGATGCTAAACAAATCGGTTGATTCATTTAGGGGTAAGAGTTTATATGAATGTATGTCTGAGGGGAACTTACTGTCTTTAGAAAAGTTTAGATTTTTCTTTTCCTCTTGCCTCTGTATAACGCATATTAAAGTTCATAAGTGCAGCGCTGCTTTGTTTACAGCGGAAACCAAGGAAACGCTTTAAGCGCCACCTGCTGGCAGAGAGTGAATCTGCATCTCATTCAGCTTTGCTGTTTCATGCAGATATTTTTATTTATAGTTTCACAAAACTGAAGTCAAACCATTCTGTTTTTGCTACAAATTTCGAAATTATACAATCTAATTTAAATTAAAAACTGTTCATGTTGCATGTATGCAGCATCTTTGTTTGGAGCACACCTCGCTTTTCAGACCGATGAGCTTTGTAAAAATCGGCGCGTTTGAGATGCTAAACAAATCGCGATTATTTTAGGGGTAGGAGTTTATATGAATGTATGTCTGAGGGGAACTTACTGTCTTTAGAAAAGTTTAGATGGTATTTTTTCTTTTCCTCTTGCCTCTGTATAATGCATATTAAAGTTCATAAGTGCAGCGCTCCTTTGTTTACAGCGGAAAGCAAGGAAACGTTTTAAGCGCCACCTGCTGGCAGAGAGCGAATCTGCGTTTCATTCAGCTCTGCTGTTTCATGCAGTTATTTTTATTTATGGTTTCACAAAACTGAAGTCAAACCATTCTGTTTTTGTTTCAAATTTCGAAATTATACAATCTAATTTAGATTTAAAACTGCTCATGTTGCATGTATGCAGCATCTTTGTTTGGATCATGATTAAAATGCAGTGGTTGCCTCTAATTTTAAATGGAAAGAGCACAGACAAAGCCTTATTTTGTTTATATGAAGAGATTTCTTTTATTTGTGTTACTTATTTATTTGATTTGGGGCTTGTTTTAAAATTTCAATTTAGTTTTGTTATTTACATTTACATTATATTTAAATTTTGTCATTTAGCAGACGCTTTTGTCCAAAGCGACTTACAAATGAGGACAATAGAAGCAATCAAAACCAACAAAAGAGCAATAATTTACAAGTGCTATATTAGTATATTATTATAGTGTCATATTTCAGTTTCACAAAGAAACGTACAGCATTTTGTCCAAGCAATAATAAAAGGACACATTTAATTTATAATTTGTCTTAAATCTCATTTTGTTAAAAACAAACCGTGAATCGAATCGAATCGTGAGTTGAGTGAATCGTTACATCCCTACTTTTGACCTAACTCATTTATCTCATTGATTTAAATGGGAAAATCTTGTACCATACTGATATAAAAATACAAAGAGTAGGGATGTAACGGTATGAACATTTCTCATCACGATTATAGTGACCAAAATGATCACGGTTATCAGTATTATCACGGTATCGTTCAAATGTGCTGGAAATGTTCAAAAAGTACTGACACACAAATCATTTCACCAAGTTTTACATTTAAAATCAATAAACAACAAATAAAATGTTTTTGTT